GTAATAAAAATGATAATTACACTGATAATTACAATTATGATGATAATGTTATTATCGATGACGATAATGATGATAATACTGGTAATGAAAGGGATAATAAAATATTAATATTAGAAATAGTAACACTGACGATAATTATGATAATTATAGTGATAATAATGACAATGATAATGATAAATATGACAATAACAATGATAAAAATTATAATGATAATAATGATAATGATAATAGTAATAATAATAATGATAATAATAATAATTATAATAATAATAATAATGATAATAATAATGATAATAATGATAATAATAATTGTAGCAGTAATGATAATAATGATAAAAAAAACAAAAAATCATAAAAGTAATGATAATAGTGATAATGATGAAAATGATAGTAATGATAATACGATGATGATAATGATAATGAAAATACTATTTTTACTTTTAATACTAATGATGGGGATGATAGTAATAATGATGATAATAATGATAATACGGATAATAATAATAATAGTAAAGTTGATAATAATAGTAACGATAGTAATAGTAATAACAATAACACAAAAATAAACAATAATAACACCAACAATGATAAAAGTAACAATAATAATAATACCAGTAATAGTTAGAACAAAAATAGTAATGATAATAAGAATAAGAATAAGGATAATAATGAAAGTAATAGTAAGAACAACCATAATACTGATGGTAGTAATAGTAAGAACAACCATAATACGATGGTAGTAATAGTAAGAACAACCATAATACTGATGGTAGTAATAGTAAGAACAACCATAATACGATGGTAGTAATAGTAAGAACAACCATAATACTGATGGTAGTAATAGTAAGAACAACCATAATACTGATGGTAGTAATAGTAATGATAATAAAACCAACAGCGAAATCATAAACTTGATTCCAATTATAGGCAGTGATTTTTTTCAGTACAAATTCCTAATCGCATTAACATATTACCTTCACACAAATAATATCTACAGTTTGAGTATCATTTCTGCTTTCATTTACACCTTTTATTCAATTATTATTTATTATCTTTTATTATCTTTGCAGTTCATGATTTATGCTTGCAATGAAGTATTTGTGTGTTCGCTATTATCATTTGCATTTATTTATTTATCTATTTATCTATATTGCATTTACGTTCTTAATTAAGTTTACATGTATAGATGAGAATGTATATTCTGTTGCTCGATTTTAATTTAGATTTATTTTCTTTTACTTGTTTACACACTAATTAAAATTTCAACCGAAGAAATCATGTATATTCTGTTTCTCGATTTCAATTTAGGAAATTTGTTTTACATGTATAAACTTATTAATTAAAATTTCGATCAAGGAAATAGTGTATATGCTTAATGTTCGACCTCAATCTAGAATTCTATTTTACATTTTTTACACTTTTTTATGGAATTTTCAACCGCAGAAATGTTTTTTTTGTTTATTTATTTATTTAGCGTTTAGCGCTATGCATATATATATATATATATATATATATATATATATATATATATATATATATATATATATATATATATATATATTTACAATTTCATCACTATTTTGGCTGCTTTATTAGGTTTGCTGTAATTACAAGTACATTCAACATCAAACCACATTTATATTACCTTAAAATCCCCCCATCTTTCACGGTCCCCCCTACACCTTGCATCAGATCTCACCCTAAGTGTGTTTCTGTGTATCCTCGTTCTCTTCTTTCTCTCTTCACCCTGTCTTCGTTTCACCCTTCGCCTCCCTCACCCCTCCCTTACCTATCTCCCTTACGCTACCCTTCCCTGCCTCCCTCCCCTCCTAGGAGTACATCATCACCCTATCTTTATCCTTCTCTATCTCTTCTTTCTCTCTATTTACTCTTTCCTTTTTCTAATCATATTTATATATCATATCCTTGTTATTCACCCCTTTCGTCTCCTTCCCTCCCCCACCACTTCTTTCTTTCATACGTCACTCCATCTTCTCTTTTTTTCTTCTCCTTCTCCTTCTTCTGTCTACACCAAACATTACTATATCCCCCCTCCCCCTCCCTCTCCATCAAACTTCACCCCCTTCCATATTTGTTTCATCCTGTCTTCACCCTTATTTCGTCCTCTGCCACTTCTTCATTACCTTGCCACCCTTCCTTTTCCACCCCTTTCTCTTCCCCCACGAAACGCATCTACACCAAACGGAACTCCTTCCTCTTCCTTTTTTTCCCTCCCCTTTTCTTCTTCCCCCCTTATCCTTTTCACCCCCCCCCAATCTACACGAAACACTATCCTATCACTTTCTCTTCACCTATCTCCCGCTCCTTCACCCTTCTCCGCCTATCTACACGTAAGGCCACTCTATCCCCTTTTTTTCTTCTCCCTTCCCCCCTCCCCAACTTCAGGAAACAGCGGCCTTCCCCTTTTCCCCGTCACTCTTCCACGCCCGTACTCTATGAACACTCCTTCTCCCTCTTCTCTGCCTTCTATCTCCCATTT